TCACACTGGAAGCTGAGAAACTCTGATAAAAACAGAGCAGAGATGGATTCCTATTAATCCTTTTGGTGAACGCAAATTAGAATGTTTTTACTTTATGCATGTTCTTTTTGAGTTTGCTTTACGCAAATTGAATACTTGTTACCGTCTTTAAAATCATAGTCCTTGTGGTTTATATTTTTTGAGTTGAAAACTGGAAGGTACTCCCAGAAACCTTACCGCTGCTTTTCTTTGGTTGAAAGTATTTTGATTATTGCTGTGGACTGTGGTTTTGGTTCGTTGTGAACTGCAACCCTCATATTTACATATCTGCTGTTTTACAATTGATTGGTGTTACTCGCAAATGTTTTTGAAATGGATGCAATTTAGACTATTAGGCATAGACACGTCGGGTAGGCAGCAGGTCTGGTTCGAACCATTGTTACACTCCGAATGCCACCAGTGCCTAGTTGGCTACTCAAATAGGGCTGTGTTTTGTCAACTTAACCTCGAAATAAATTGATTCAGGAAATGAGCCTTTGAACCTTTTGGAGTGGTCTAGTAGCATTGGAGATCTCATGTTCCTTCTGTACCCATTTCTAAGACCTCTGGATCTGCCGTTATCCACGTGAAAATTCAGGTAAAGGTTTGTCATTTCCTTCATTGAGCAAAGCAAGAGCTCAATTCTTTGAGTGCCCAAGGATTGAATTCTTTCATTCACATATTATACCACCTAGGAAAGCAAAAATAAATAAATAAATTCATTTAGAGCAACTCTAGCAGTCGGCATTTTGGCATCCTCCATAACGCGAATGGAGCGCGCTCCATGCTATTATGGAGGCCGGCAAGGCAAAGCGCAAACTTGGAGTCGCCATATTGGCAGCCTCCATATTTTTTTCTTTTCTTTTCTGTTTTTTGGGTTGCATTAACTAAATAGTCACACACAAAATTCGAGGGATGAAAAAACCAATTTGAGTAAACATGGCATTACAAAGTTCCTACATAGGTTCAAAATTTGTCGAGTTTGAGCGACTCTAGCATGATTTTGAGCTCCACCATGTCGAAGGTGAATGCTATGCATGGTGCACATGCATATGTGGTGAGTCCACTCATCCTCTAGGCGCGGCAGGGTGATGGTCCGACGACCTTGTCCTTGTCTCATTATTGCCAATGGTCTTCAATGTCACGGACAGATTTATCAAGGGGGGCAAGGCCTGATATGACGTGGATCATCTTGGTGAATGTCACCATCTTCATGTCAAATATGCGCCACCTAAGGCGGCGGGGAGCAGGTGGTGGCCGACATGAGCTGCTTGGGCAAGGTCTCTCCTACTCATATGGGATTTGCAGGCCGTGCTCGATATCCCAAACAATGGTGTGTGTTTCGGGATCTCAATCTAGGCACTCATTGAGGGCGAGATCCTCCTTGCGGCCTCCAGCGTGCCACGACGATCCCACTCCTCCTTGGCGATGAGGGCGGTCATGTCATGCGCTTCCTCATCCAGGATCTCCTCCTCCTCGGAGAGTAGCACCCAATTTGGTCGTGGGGGAAGCAACTTGGTGACCACCGGGGGAGGGGGGAGTGGAAGCTTTGGGCGGCGAGGAAGGAAGAGGAGGTTGTGGACGGCGGGGATATGAGCTAGGCCGGACATGCCGATGGGTTTTTATAGCCACGGGTGGCGGGCGACTGGAAAAAGTGGTGGCAAAAGTGGCGGGAACTGCTGCAGGCAGTTGGCATGCGGCTATTAATTGACCCACTTCTCGGTGCCATGAGCCTCTGGCCATCTGTGCCATTGGCAGGGAAAGGAGATAGGCCGAGTGGGAGGCTGACGAGGGAGTTGAAACCTCCATCCCGCGTGAGCGGTTGGCAGATGGAGTTCCCTCCAAACCAACGCCCCATAACATCCAAATATGAAGGCGCACGGGCTCGATTTGGAGAGACATCCATAACCCGGGGGCATACAAGCGGTTATTATCCTGATCAGGTTGATATGGCCACTCTGCTCGAGTTGCATTTATATACTTGAAACATCTCGGAATATTTGCTCAAAACTATGGATTTGCTAAACGTGCCTTGCCATGAAGTAATTGGCGGTTAGGCGGGAGTCGACAATAGAGGCCAGGGAAGACGGTGGCAGCAGAACCGGCCAACGTAAAATAAAATCGCGCAAGTGAGGTTTAGCAGGTCCTTTCGAGAATGTATATCATTTATTTTGAATGATTTGAACATTGCTCACCATGCTTGCCGCACGGTATGTACTCCCCTCCCCTCACTAATTGTACGTCGCATGGTGCAACTGAATAAAGAGGTACTTTTGAGTTTTCTTTGTGTGGCTAGATGATGGATACATGATGAGGTGAAGATCGATCCTGCTAGTTCGGTGAGACGAACCAGAGAAGATCTAGCATTGCTAGAACTTCCCAAGCAGCATAGCATTGTATTACCAGGTTATGGTTGGCAACCGCCCGATGGAAATATCATCAAGATCAATACAGATGCCTCGATCAACTCCGCTGACGGTATAGCGGGTATTGGAGGGGTTGCCAGATCGTGTTCGGCCTTCTTGGGAGCTTGGTGCAAGCCGTATATGGGGGTTTCGGACCCACTAATTGCCGAGGTCCAAGCCATGAAAGAGGGTGTGATCTTTGCTCGTCTGAGGGGCTTCACGGAGGTGACCCTCGAGACGGACTGTCTAGAGACAGTTAACCTCTGGAACAATCGCTACGACGATCGCTCGATTGTAGCACCTATCTTAGCAGAAATTAGAGAGCTCTCTCTTAATTTTTCATCTTTTGTAATTCAGCATGTAATAAGAGCGGCAAACGGTCCTGCACATCTTTGTGCTAAGCGTGCTAGTACACTTAATGTGACTGAAAGCTGGCTCGAGACGACCCCAAGCTTCCTGATCAGCAGCCTGTTGGCTGACTGTTCGGCGAATGCTTTTGTTGAATAAAGCTCTCTGAAATTTCCCGCAAAAAAAAGATGATCCCCTCCCCTCACTAATTGTACCTCTCATGGTGCAACTGAATAAAGAGGTACTTTTGAGTTTTTTTTAAAAAAAAGAAGTCCCAGCCCAACCCGGTGAAGATGGATTGCTCTATCGCTAATGGGCGCTAATAGGCGCCAGCGCACCGGCCGAAACTTTCGGCCAGTCCCGCGTGGGCCACTGGATCTGTCTAACACGAAGCGCGCGGAACCGCTCGATCTCGCACGTATTGCACGGGCTCGATGTGGACCCGGTCGTCGCCTTCCTCATCCGCCGCGCATCGTTGACTCTGGCTGCCGTCGCCGTCTGCCACACCCCGCGTTCCTCGTGGCTCGCCGCATCGGTGGCTCGCCATGGCTGCCGCTCGCCGTCTCCGCTGCAGCAAAAAAGGTACCAGCTGCATCAAAAACAGGCGGTGATGGTGGCCGCCAGGTCCAACAATGTCGGGGCCGCCGGTTCCAGCATCCGTCGCAGCACCATTGGTGCATAGAAACCAGTCATGTGCATCAACGGCTTGCCGCTGCAGCTTTTTCATCGCCAGTCTCTGATTGAAGCTTTTAAAAAATATGGTTGAAGCTTTTGTGTTGACGATTGTAGCTTTTTGCGTTTCCTGTCACCGGTTGAAGCTTTATATATAGCCGGTCGAAGATTTTTTTTCTAGCCGGTTGAAGCTTTTTTCGTCGCCGGTTGCAACTTTTCTGATTTCCAGTCACCGGTCACCGCCGTGAATGGTGGTAACAATTACTGTCTATGGTAGTAGCAAACACTCTGTGTGGTTGCAGCAAAACGTTGTCGTGGCTGTCAAAGAGTTGCATCTTCTTCATGAATGATGTAGCTTTTCTCTATCGTTCGGTTGAAGCTTTTTTCATCAAAGGTTGTAACATTTTATATAGACGGTTGTAGCTTTCTTCGATAGCACTGAACGCTTACAGCTTTCTGTATATACGGTTGAAGCATTTTTAATCTTGGGTTGAAGTTTTCCTGTCAACGGTTGTAGCACTCCCCAGCCTCCCCAGCTATTGCGCATCTCTGATTGAAGCAAAAAATACCATCGGTTCCAGCAAAAAATCTTTATGGTAGTAGCAAAACCAAAACACAGTTATAGCAAAAAACGGTCATCCGCCATCTCGCCATGACGTCGAGGTTCCAGCAAAATTTGCGCCATGGGATGCAGTCCTGCCATGGTTGGTTGCAGCTCCGGCGAGGTAGGAGGAGCTCCGATGCACGCGAATCCGCGCGGATCTGGTCGAGGACGGCCAGATCTGCTGAACGGCAGCGCGCCTGGGAGGCCTGCGGCGCGGGGCGATGCGTTGACCATGGCAGCGGTGAAAGAGAAAGAGAGAGATGCATGAGAGGAAGAAGAGAAAAGGAGAACTAGTCATCTCGGGTCCATCGCATCACGTGGTTGCTCGTGAATGGGTCGTATCGCGCGTGCGTGGACTGGACCGGCCGAAGTTTCAACCGGTGCCCCGGCCCCAAACGTTTCCCATCGCTAATCTGATGGATTGCTCTATCGCTAATCTGATGGATTGCTCTATCGCTAATCTGATGTTTGGTATCCCTGTTTCCTTTTTCTTTTCTTTAAGTTAAGAAAATTGTAACCTATTTCGAGTCCTAGCCAAACCGAGCCGCCGCCGTTCTCATCATCGTGTGCCCGATCCCAAGACTCGAAGCAAGGCATCCGCCGCCGCCGCCATGTACCTGAGCCCACGTAGCCTCTCGGCTGAGCCGTCGGAGAACCCCGTCGCTCTGCCGGAGTCGATCCACCACGCTGTCTGCGATGAGGATGAAGGTATCCAGGGGAAGGAGGAGGAGGAGGAGGAGAATGTGATGGAGGAGATCGGGAAAGAAGGGAAGCGTAAGAGGAAGGAGGAAAAGGGGAAGAAGGAGAAGAAAAGGCACAAAGGCAAGGCAGGGGGGATTCTGACAAACAAGCTCTTCTCAGAGCTCGCCATCTCTGAGCTCACTGCCAAGGCCATCGGAGAGATGAACTACACCCACCTCACCCAGATTCAAGCCAGATCAATACCGCACCTGATGCTAGGGAGCGATGTGCTGGGTTCAGCCAGGACTGGCTCAGGGAAGACACTCGCTTTCCTTATTCCGGCCATCGAGCTGCTACACAAGGCGCGCTTCACGCCGAGGAATGGTACCGGAGTTATCGTGGTTTGTCCGACAAGGGAGCTCGCTATGCAGACGCACAATGTCGCCAAGGAGCTAATGAAGCATCACTCGCAAACTCTTGGATATGTGATTGGTGGCACTAACATGAGAAGCGAGGCCAACCAGCTCGTGGAAGGGATCAATCTGTTGGTCGCGACGCCGGGCAGGCTTTTGGACCATCTGAGAAGTACCGGTGGTTTCAACTACAAAGGGCTACAATGCCTTATAATCGATGAAGCTGACCGCATACTTGAGCAGAATTTTGAGGAGGACATGAAGCAAATATTCAAGCGCCTACCTCGGGACAGGCAAACTGTTCTCTTTTCTGCTACACAGACTAAAAGGGTTGAAGATTTTGCGAATCTTACGTTTGGGAAAAATGAAGAAAGGCAACGAAAACTTGTTTATGTTGGAGTTGATGATTCTGAATTGAAGCCTACCGTTGAGGGCTTGCAGCAGGGCTACTGTGTCATCCCAAGCGAGGAAAGGCTTCTGGTTCTGTATGCTTTCCTAAGAAGGATGCGGCTGAAGCAGAAGGTGAAGGTCATGGTGTTCTTTTCATCGTGTAGCTCTGTCAAATTCCACGCAGAATTGCTGAATTTCCTTGGGATAGAGTGTTATGATATCCATGGGCAACTGAAGCAGCAGAAACGCACTAGTACATTCTTCCGATTTTCCAAGGAGGAAAAGGGCATCTTATTATGCACTAACGTGGCAGCACGCGGGCTTGATATTCCTGATGTGGACTACATTGTGCAATTCGATCCTCCAGATGACCCAAAGGACTACATTCACAGAGTCGGTCGTACTGCCCGAGGTGATAAAGGCAAAGGACGTGCATTGTTGTTCTTACTACCAGAAGAGATGAAGTTGCTCATTTACCTACGGGCGTCCAATATTTCTCTGACTGAACATAAGTTCAATGGAAAACATGTGCCAAAACTGCAACCTCAACTTGAGAAGATTGTTGCTGAGAATTACTTCCTAAAGCAGTCGGCGAAGGAAGCCTACAGGTCCTACCTTTTGGCATACAACTCACACTCTATGAAGGACATTTTTGGTGTCCATCACCTTGATCTCAAGAAAGTTGCGGCATCTTTCTGTTTTAATAACCCTCCTAAAGTGAATCTGAACCTGGAGAGTAGTGCATCGAAGCACCGAAAGATGAGGAAAGTGGACGGTGGAAAGAGGCATGGAATTAGCCCTTCAAACCCCTATGGAAGGAGAGGTGGCGATGATCGAAGGCAGTTTGTAAGATTCTAGGAAGGATGTATCAGGGGGATTTAAGATCAGATGCTGGAAGTCACCATCTTTAATTCTTCTGTTTTTCATAGATCTCTAGATATTACGTTTGGATGTGATTTGTGTTAAGTAGTTTCAGAAAAACCGAGACTGATTTATGTTGTTTGGATTCTTAAAACAAGCGTGGTTATTACTCCCTCCGTTCCTAAATATTTGACTTTTTAGAGATTTCAAATGGACTACCACATACGGATGTATATAGACATATTTTAGAGTGTAGGTTCATTCATTTTGCTCCGTATGTAGTCACTTGTTGAAATCTCTAGAAAGACAAATATTTAGGAACGGAGGGAGTACATTTGTTTTGTGGGTACATTGATGTCTGTCTTATGACTTGTGTTGCAACAGGCTCCGCTCGATAGATGAAATCGCGACTCTATAATCTAATCTGCACAATGACAATGCTTCCGATTCTTGATTTTTGGCACATGTACCAAAAGAATATAAAATGTTCCAAGAGGTCGTATAGTTCTTGGGTAGCTAAACTGATTTGCCACTAGCTTTACATAACTGTCTCTAGATTGATTCAACATATTCTGGCCGAATGCACTGTGTTAGGTTTGATATTTTGTTATCGATGATGTTTGCTTGCTGTTTTTTTTTTCTTTTTATTAACAGCCCCAAGGGACGAGAGTTTACACAACTAGAGATTACACAGCGAGGGAGTAGGAGATTTTTTAAAGTATCTACAGTTTTTGTCAGGCTGGGGACTGAAGACAGGAAGAAGAGGCAACATTCAGCTATCTAAGGGAGGAGCCCTGCGGGTTGCGGCGCTTTTCGACACCAGACTGCGCACAAGTCGTCATTATCTTGCTAATGCAACTTGGTTATATGTTATTCTGATACTCTATTTACAACCTGGTGATGCAACTGGCTGTGTATATAACCCGAGCTGTTGGTGATGAAGCCGAAGGGGTAAGAAAAGAATCAACTACGTAACTAAATTCCATAGAGCAGTTAGCTGTAGTTCAATTGTAGCAGCGCTGTGTCTTCTTCAGTTGTCCCTGGACACTCTGCCATAGTACTCCCTCCGTTCCAAATTATTTGTCGTGGTTTTAGTTCAAATTTGAACTAAAACCAGACGAGTAATTTGGAACGAAGGGAGTAGTTGTTAGCTTTGGACGTGCCTTCTTTATTGGGCATCAAAATTATTGTTCACCAAAGAATGAATCTAAAGGACGTGGCTGGGCTCTGGAAGCAAAAAAGGAATCGGTGGTAAGCTCTAGAGCCATGCAGCTCCGATGAGCGTCCATGAGACCAAATTGACACAACAGTCATGAGCGGAGGCGCGCACATTTGAACAAATGAACACTACGCCGCACATTTGATTAAATTACACATGGTCATACTATGTTTTATTGATTAATATATTTTCTCATAAATCCCTTCCAGGATTGAAAGTAAACAAGTACAACCTCGGCAGCTCAAGTGTAGAACTAAGCTACTTCTGTTCAGGAAGGTCAGTTTAGGCACCCCATCATGAGGGTTGCTTCAGCCATCTCCCCCCGTTCCAAATTGGAAGGATTTCATAATATGATATCAAGCACATTGATGTTTTCGACAGAGACATACTTCAACATCTCTTGCATCTCTCTTACTGTTGTAGTCTAGTGGTAGTGGTGTTGTATTCTAAGATATCCCTGGACTGGATACCTAGCCTAAGTTTTTGGGCACATGTATAGGTTTGAGGTCGTAGCATCGCCCATGTTGCTATCGCATGCCAGCTTGCCAGTCATAGCATCGTCTCTATTGCAGTACATCTCGTCGCCTGAGGTTGTGTTGGCAGCAGGACGACATCCCAATGTTGCCACTGCAACATACCACATTGTTATTGTTTTGAGAGTAAAACATAGTGCTTTGCTATATGAGCCATGTTGTGCTTGAGAGTCTCACATTGCAAAACCGGTTGGATCAGTCAGCAACACGAGTCATGTTGCGTTCGATAGTTTGCAACATGACCCATGTTGCAAGCTTATCGGGTCAGTCCTCGTGGGGCCATGGGCGTGTGGGAGAGAGTTGGGTTGCGCGTCTCTGATCAGGCTTGGATCCGACGGCTGTGGAGGCGATCAACATTGTGTGTTATCTGTCAGGCGAGGGTGTTTCTCAAGAAAAAAAAAAGATGTATCCAAACTTGGCCGTGGGTTTTGCTCAAACCGCCTCCTGTTTCCAGCCAAAGTACGCCGTGCAGTTGTCGACAGCACCGCCTCTGGAACGGGGCTAGAAGAGACACGACGCGATACCAGCCGTTCGTTCTCCCATCGGACGGTCCACAGGGGCCCAATCACCCGCGAAACGGACGCCGAACGGAGACGTGGCAGCGACAAATTCCAAAAACACCCCCGCACCTTACTTATTTCTCTCTCCACCCCATCGCGGTTCGCACCCCACGCAACCCTACGTCCTCGCCGCCGCCGCCTCCCGCGCCCAAGCTTCCGCCGCCCTCCGTCTCCGGCGATCCCCCCCGCGCGCCAACAATGTCGACGATCTTCGCGAAGCCCGAGAGCGCCCTGAGGAGGGCGGAGGAGCTGATCCACGTCGGGCAGAAGCAGGCGGCGCTGGAGGCGCTGCACGACCTCATCACGTCGAGAAGATGCCGGTCATGGCAGAAGCCTCTCGAGAAGGCCATGATGAGGTACGTGGAGCTGTGCGTGGATCTGAGGAAGGGCAGGTTCGCCAAGGACGGCCTCATCCAGTACTCCAGGATCGTCTGCCAGCAGCAGCTCAACAACGTGTCGTCTCTGGAGGAGGTCGTAAAGCACTTCATGCATCTGTCCAGCAAGAAGGCCGAGGAGGCCGCCATGGATCACCAGGCGCAGGCTCTGGACGTCCATGACCTGGAAGCACCGGAGGACCTGATGCTCAGCTACGTTAGCGGGAAGGACTGGTCTGAATCTGACACCCCGTATCTCAAGTTTCTGTGGGAGACGTACCGGACGGTGCTGGAGGTGCTGAGGAACAACTCCAAGCTCGAAGCGCTGTATGCCATGGCAGCCCACAAGGCCTTTCAGTTCTGCAAGCAGTACAAAAGATCCGCCGAGTTCCGGAGGCTGTGTGAGATGATCAGAAACCATCTTGCAAATCTCAACAGATCATATCGAGATCGTCCTGATCTGACCGCCCCTGAGAGCTGCCAGTTGTACCTTGATACCAGGGTTGAGCAACTCAAGATTGCCGCAGAGCTTTCCCTGTCCCAGGAAGCCTTCCGGTCTGTGGAGGACATCCATGGCTTGATGAGCATGGTTCAGAGGACTCCAAAACCATCCGTCCTGGCCGTGTATTACGCCAAGCTGACTGAGATATTCTGGACGTCTGAGAGTCACTACTTGTATCATGCATATGCACGGCTGGAGCTTTTCAACTTGCACAAGTGTCACAACAAGAATTTAACTCGGAAGGATCTGCAATTACTAGCGTCTTCTGCTTTGCTCGCTGCGCTTTCTGTTACACCATATTATGACCATGAGTCTGGTCTATCTCATCTGGAGCTTGAAAACGAAAAGGGGCGCAGCTCGCGTATGGCAAACCTTCTCAATTCCTCCTTTGACTCCAAGCGTGAGAACAGAGAAAAGGTTTGCCTTCCAACTGTTCCCAATTTAAGATAATTTTGCATAATAGTTTAATTATTTGTTTTTTCTTGGCTAAATCTTTGTGTGTGTTCACTTTTCAGGTTTCAAGAGCATCTCTTCTTTCTGAGTTGGCTGCCAGAGGTGTGGTTTCATGTGCTTCCCAAGAAGTGCAAGATCTTTACAACCTTATGGAGCATGAGTTCCTTCCTCTGGATCTAGCATCAAAAGTGCAACCTCTGTTTTCCAAGATTTCTACAATCGGAGGAAAGCTTTCATCTGCACCTTCAGTTCCAGAGATTCAGTTATCGCAGTACCAACCTGCATTGGAAAAGCTTACTACACTGAGGGTGCTGCAGCAGGTCCTATGCTATGACACACCAGCGATAATATATGCACTTTTCTTTGCTGCGAATATGTATTCACTTTGTCATAAAACATGTTTCTCAACTCTCCTTTTAATCCTTTTCAGGCATCTCGTGTTTTCCAGTCCATGAGAATTGATACACTCTCTAGAATGATCCCCTTCTTTGACTTCAATGTCGTGGAGAAGATCGCTGTTGACGCCGTCAAGCACAATTTTGTTGCTATGAAAGTTGACCATTTGTCTGGAGCTGTTCGTTTCAGCAACACAGAGATAGAATCTGATGTGTTTGGTGCTAGTCACCTTATTGGTGCCCTCGCTGATTCCCTAAACAAAGCTGTGCATAAGCCATCCGAAGTCGGTAGTCTTGCTGGAGTGGTGGAGAAAGAACATCAAAGGCTTCTCGCAAGGAAATCAATCATTGAAAAACGTAAAGAAGACTATGAGCGTCAGATATTGGAAAAGGAAAAAGCAGAGGAGGCAAAGAGATTGAGCATTCAGAAGAAATCCGCGGATGAAGAAAGGGAGAGGCTTTTGAAGGACCGGAGGCTCAGGGAGCAGCAGAGGATCCGTCAGGAAATAGAGGACAGAGCGCAGAGAGAAATAGGAAAAACAGAACAAAAAGTAACAAAACAAGGCGCCATGGAGCTTGTATCGCATTACCTAGCTTATAGAATGTCGCGTCAGGGGATGGAGAAGAGGCTGGAGAAGCTAGCAAAGAGAATGGATCACTTGGAGAGGGCAAGACGGCAGGAGGAAGCGCCGCTGATCGAGGAGGCCTTCCGAAGACGCGTCGAGGAAGAGAAGGTCCTCCACGAGCAAGAGCAGCTGAGAGAGAATGAGATCAGCGAGCAGCGCCACGCGGGTGACTTGCTGGAGAAGAAGAGGCTCTCTCGATTCTTGGAGCATAAGAATGCTTTCCAGGAAAGAGTTGTCCAACGCCGAGAAGCCGAGTTTCTTAGCCTGACGAAAGAGAGGGAGGAAAGGATCAGTCAGTTGGTATCTTCAAGAAGGCGTGAAAGGGAGACTGCACGGAAACTGACGTATTATCTGAAGATGGAAGAACAGCGGATCCAAAGGGCGCGTGAGGAAGAGGAACAGCGGATCCAAAGGGCGCGTGAGGAAGAAGAACAGCGGATCCAAAGGGCGCGCGAGGAAGAGGAGCAACGTGAAGAGGAAGAGAGGGAGAGGAGGGAAGAAGCTCCTCCTGCACGCAGTAATCAGCCCTGGCGTCGTAGATCAGGGCCCTCGGCAAACTCTTCTTCGTCTGGCAGCTGGAGGCACTGAAGCTGCCTGCTGCCCTGAAGTTTTAAAAGCATGGACTTCTGATTTCTAGCTAGGCCTCCCTTTGCAACTTTGCACCATTAATTTCTTAGAGGTCATGCTTGATCTTTTGAGAGTCACACTGCTTCATACATTACGTGTTGCTATTTGTTATGGTATTTGAGTATATGTTGTTAGTATTAATTATGCGAGTAAAACCAAAGATTTGCCTATGTGAGTTTTGCTGTCGAATGGAGTGATTCGAGATATCTGTTCTGTGTTGGTCATCAACTCTAGAGATGGATGCAGTTATGTGGAAACGAGTCCCAAGAGCTGGCTGTGGTTAACTCCTCTAACTTTTATCTAAATCGGATGTAGTATGTAGCTGCGTTTTAGTGTGTTTGCACATTCATTTGAGTTGGTATATTGAAATATCCAAAACATCTTACAATTTGGAACGTAGGTAGTATTAGGAGTGCCCTTGCAGCTGTCGTTGTGTGTAGTCACCTCTTCAAATTGAAATCACAGGGGGAGGGAGTAGATCACTTGTATCGATAATGAGATAGGAACGTGTGTACAAAAGGCCGGTAAAATTCAAATGGAATTTTTTTTTCTTTTTTGGAACACAATTGCATTCCATCACTAGTATGGTCGGAAATAGCCTCCCTATTACCAATACTGACCGTGTAGTGTATTATGGCTAAATGGATCAACTGTACAAATGAATGCGGTATATTTTTCTAAATTGAATAAAATGTTACTAATGGCATATATCTTTTAACTGCATATCACTAGTACTTGGCAAAGCTAGTGGCGACTAGACAGAATCACACCCGCTAGTAGTTGATGCGCAGTTGCGCTGGTGTGGGAGCGAAACGCTCGTTATCAGTGGCGTGATACTAGTGACCTCTATCATGTGCGTAAGTGTTTTTTGTACTAGCGATAACATGAAATTCATATATATATATAGGTAAATTATGTGGGGCACCTAGGTGCCTGGGCACCTAAGTCCCAATATAGCAAGTCATATTTGTAGTGCATGGCTTTCCAAATTTTGTTTGCATGCACTACGAGCATAAATGGACAATAATTGCTTTCCAAAAAAAAATATACTACCGGTTTCCTAGTATGATTCATTTCCAAACAAAAAAGGTATGTATATATAATTTTATTTCTTAAGGTATCAGATATGAAAAATAGTACGAAACGTCGTTCCTATGGTTCCTATGTATATTAAGGATGTTTTTATGCATTTTTCTAAAGTTTTACCTTTCAAGGTATCTAGTATTTAAAAAAATAGACCGGGTCAGACTTTTTAATGCTAATATTTCTATACAAATTAAGGTGTCCAAATAATATAAAATGCGATCATAATTAATTGTTTTAGTTGTAGGAATATATGATGCATGCTGATACCCACACATGATTTTTTCCAACATACATATATCCACTGACGATTATTTTTAGTTTAAGGAATGTTTGTTACATATACCCGCACATGATTCTATGTATTTATATTATCGAGGTATATACTCATAAATTTAATGACAAGGTATGTAAATACGATGAGTATGCATATACAAGAAAAATATATTGAGTACTCTAGGGTGTATACATACACAAAAATCTAATCAATACATACTAAGTAAGTGAATCCAGACGTACCTAATCTAATGGTTATGTATTAAATATTCTGGGTATATACATACAAAAAAAATCTAATGTGTTACATACTAAATGTTCTTGGTATATACGTATTAAAAAATCAATGAGTGTGTAATAAATAAATGAATCCGTACATATTTAATCTGATTGATACACACTAAATATTTTGGGTATATACATAGATAAAAATCTAATGTGTACGTACTAAATATTTTGGGTATATGTGTATTAAAATTTAACAGGTACATACTAAACAGATAAAATCATATATACATACTAAATTTTCTGGGTATATACATATAAAAATTTAACGGGTACATACTAAACAAATGAATTCATATATACCTAATTTGTAATATATCTAATGTGTAGTATTTTTCCTTCTAAAGATATATGTTACCATGCATGGCGTGCTTAATGACATCCATTTATGATATGCATTATAATTGTTTCCATATTTACTTGTTTCATAATTGGCAATTAGTAATGGATTGACTAGTTACCTTCTATACCTATCACAATAACGCGCATCTAAATGCAATCAAACGGTATATATATATATATATATATATATATATATATATATATATATATAGGACAAATTTTATCTACAAGTAGTGGTAGTTACCACCTAGCTAATTCCTTTCCCATCGTACCACCGAACCAAATGGGTTAGTTGATACTAAAAAGATCCAATAACATGCAACAGGTAGATGTGTTAGTTAGGCAACGTGTCTCTCCGTTCAACAACCTGCTAGCTAATTGATCGGTCCGTTGAATGGATAAGTGCTCGCTGTGAGCGTGTTCCTTGAGTTTTTTTTTAGAATCTTCCTTGGGAATAATTAATTAGTATGCGCATGGAGTATGGTGAAATTTCCTGCAAAAAAAAGAGTATGGTGAAATACTTCTGGGTAAATTATGGAGTATATACCTTTAAGTATGGAGTATATATAGCTTGGAGTATGTAGTATATTCCCGCAAAGAAAAGGAGTATGTAGTATATATCACCCGCAAAAAAAGAGTATGTAGTATATATAAATATGATAAGAGCATGCTGGCTCTAATTTTTTGTTCGGGCAATATGACGGTAATTTTCTGCACCCGATGAAAGAGTATGTTTACTTCGAAGGATGTAGTATATAGACAGATTTTAGCATTTACGTAATCTCATTGCCAATAAACATTAAAGTATGAAATTTTGTAAAGATTACGACATAAATATGTCCATAGCATCTGCATTTGAAAAAAATGTCCATAGCATGCGTGTTCAGTACCATGCACAAAAAGTAGTATGTATACTCCAAATTCCAAAAGGTGGTATACGTGTAGTAGTTGTAGTATGGAGTATAATTCGAGATGGAGTATATGTCATATAATTTTTTAAACAGGAGTGCGTGTCACTACTTAATTCGAGGCACGTATAAAGTAACGTATTTTCAGCAAGGGAGTATGGAGTTTACATACTTCAACTTGAAAGGAGTATGTAGTTTATATACTTCTTTATATGTACGTAGTTTATATGCGTGAACCATGTTCTCATATGTACGTTGTTGTTGCCGCCGACGCGCCGGGGCAGTCATCTGTCGGCGATGTACTTCGATACATATGTTGTATTTGGCCACGTTGCGCCAGAGCACGTATCGGTCGCGTGCATCAGCCACAGTTCATCGTTGTCTCCGCTGCAGCACTGGAGCAGTTACGTGGTTGTCGATCGTTGCCGCCGCACCGGACAGCAATGGCGGAGCTACACTCAAAAGCTTGGGCGGACCAGTCTGAAGAGAAGCCTAATATTTTTGATAATTATGACCCATATCTACCCTTAGCCCAGCCTGTTGCAGCAAAATTTGGATGGGCCATGGCCTTTTTTACTACAACGTAGCTCCGCCAGTGCCCGACAGGCTAGCCTTCGTCCAGGTCTTGAAACGCCGATGAACAATCGCATGATTGGAAGGAATAACTGGGTGCAGGAAAGGAGACTCGGCGGACGGCAATGGCTGTGCAAAAGAATCAATGATTATATTGATGTACATGTGCCTAGAAATCTGGATTAAAATATCAAATCCATTGTAGACGCATGGAAATCACGGGAATTAGTTCACGTTGCATACCTCCTTTTGCAATTTGTAATCGCTACAGCCGGTCTAGTTTCTTGGGATAGCTTTTGATTTCAGCGCAGAGCCGTGAATTGAGATCAGAAAAAGGAGAGAGAAAGAGAAGATCTTTTAGATGAGATCGGTACGATCCTATTTTATATGGGTCCAGTCTAGCGCCAGGAAAATCGGAAGGTTAGCGATAGCGCTCATGACTGGGTAGAAAAATATCCAATTCTTTCGTGCCCACGACCCGTTAAGAAATCTACAGATCTGATGCAATCCGACGGCAATCAAGGCAGGGGTAACTACCGCCTAATGGTAGAATGGATTTTCCCTATATATATATATATATATATATATATATATATATGTATATATATATATATATGGAAAATCATTAGAATATGATAAAAAATATGATGTAGTCTCAGATATTACACAAGACTAAATTAAACATGTAATATTTAGATAACATAGTATTTCTCTATCGAAAACTGTTTGTGGGGGCGATGACCCCCCATGGCTCCTGTGGTACATCATCTACTACGGGGAACACCCAGCCATGGGGTTGGGATAGAGGAGCCCGCGACAGACATCCACCATTGGGTGGGGCAGCCCATGGCCACAAACCAAATGGGACAAGGAGAGCTCTTGTAGTAGGGAGCTTGGCATCTCGACCTTGTTTGGGTGCGAGCGGAGCAAAGAGGGACCGCCCACAACGATCAACACGAGTTTGTGAGGTCCACCGAGTTGATGGTGTCGTCTATGGGGGTGCCCAGCAGAGTGGACGTAGAGCTCATGGTCGCGACCAACTGGATCGAGGAGCCCCGGTCGCCTCATCTGGGTGGAGCATGCCAATGTACTAGTGGACTGCAATGGGGTCGACAGGATCCTCATTGTGGTCGAGGGGAACCTGGTCGACTTTATTGACATGCGTGAGGCCCGGGTCAATGTTTCCCACACGTAGGAAGGCTAGATAAACAACGTCGGGGTTGAATGGAACGACGCTTGGCTTTGCCGGGCTTGTTGAAGCCCAGGTTGACCTCGATGTCCTTGAGGGGCCTAGGCCGACCTCGCCATCCTCAAGGAATCGTAGCCAGGTCTGCCTCTCACCTGACCATGTCTAGGTACCGAGGAGCAAACTCATCGATGTGTCCTTCCAGCCACCGCAAGTCCATGATATGTTCACGATCTCAATGCCACACGAGGGTCCACAGGGATCAAGGAGATGTGGCGGATGACTCGTGCTCACTGATCCACTACACC